TTTAACGATTACTTTACTTTAAGTTTCACTCTTTCTCTCAGTTTCATGCGACTCAATAGAATCGCCCCGTGGGTTAATGTAAGAGTAGTTTCATTCATGCGACTCAACGTTTCTAGATTTCATGATGAAAATGATTTGTTGGATGACGATAAATCTCCTGTAAGTTTTGCTGTTAAAATAGTTTTCGATCATTAAATTTATCTGTTTTCCAACTGCATTAATTGTAGTAATGTGGTCGGAAAATATTACAATTCTTGTGCATTGCAGTAACATTTAAATAATGAACCTAATTATTTATATAATTTGCCAAAATTAGTCATGGTAATATTTGTTGAGGTCTTGGTGAATCTCGTGGAATTTATTGCCACTCACTTACTATTTTGTCGTCACTGTGTTAGCAGTTGTAATTGATAGGAAAGTAAAGAAGCTTTGTTTGACGCAGGTTACCTTACTTGAAATTCTCTTGACGTTTGTTTTCTTAGGACAACGACAATGATGGAGAACTTCATTGTAAGTTATGTGCATTTATTCTGGTTTTAAATTTAATATTTTTGCGTTAATTATAAAAGTAGGCTTTTGGATCGATTTGTGCTTGCGTATCGTCCGGTTTCCTTTACTCTGTCTGTTTCAACCTCTTCAGTAGGTGAAAGAAGTTTGCTTGCGGCAAAGCAGAAACCCTTGCCACCACAGCCACTACGACCAAAACCATCAAAACCAACTGAAGCTAAGCGAAAGACAAAAGCTGCTGTGAAACCTCCCGCAACCCCAAAGGTTGTCCCACTAAAGCCCCAGAAATTAAATCCTGTTCATCTCAAACGCTCCCCCCGGCAAACGCCACCAAAACTCACGAACATCATTCCTCAAGTGGAGGATGAAGAAGGCAAGAAATGGGTCCCCACGTACGAAGACCACGACTGTGACGGAATTCCTGATGATCAGGACGATGATATTGACAATGACGGTCTAATAGACAGAACTCAAGATTCTGATCACGACGGATTACTTAACCACATCGATGACGATGATGATAATGATGGTGAGGTCTACAATATCATTGTTTAATTATGGAGTATTGCTTCAGTCTCACTCTTGCCATTGCCTTGATTAAATTTACTTCCTCCTAAATAGGAGACATTCAAAAGTTCTAATTTGAGTGCTTTCGTGTCGATCCAGTGAATTTCATGAATTTTGCACGCTTTAGTGCTGAGCAAATTTAATAATTCTATCAGTCAAGTTGGCTATTTGGATCTGCCTCCTGTGGCAGTCTCACAGCAGCAGTAAATTCCACCTCTTTTTTTACAGAATTTGATGAAATATTTGCTAGTTTACAAATGACTGCGACAGCTATTCTAGAAACATGTTCCACGTGAACCTTTGAAACCAAAATCGTTGCCTGTCATTGATTAAAATGTGGTTTTTTTCTCTAGGGATACCAGACAAGGAGGACGAGGACGCCAACGGCGATGGAATCCCCGACTGCCGTGCGGACACCACAGACCACAAGCTGATCATGCGCTACGGCAATAAAAGGAAGGTTCTAGACTCTGACATGGATGGGATCCCCGACGATGTGGATCTGGATGACGACAACAACGGCATTCCTGACATGCTGGAGGACAGAAATGGCGACCAGATTCCCGACTTCCTTGAACCCGTCATCGACGAGTGTAAGCCCAATTGGTACCGCGCAGAGTTTACAGAAAAAGCCAAGTCATTTTAAACACATCTACTTAATTTGAGCGACAGTACTTCAAACATGATATTGTATATGTGTACAAATGCCCTACTTTTGCAGATTTGAAGTGTGACAATAAGAAAAAGTGTAGTAAGTTCTGGCGGTTTGTGTGTGCGTGCGTGTGTGTGTGCGCGTGTGTCAATAATTGTCAGTGTTCGCCCGAACCACATCGTAGACGACGCATGGCGAGACTAACGAAGTTTGTGCCGTCGACCAGAACTAGCCTAGACTTAGGTCCACGTGGCTACTTGAGTGCATGGGACTACTTGAGTCGATGCCGAAACTGTCACCGTAGCCTGGCTTCTGCTGCATGACCGCGTGTGACTCAAACAGCGTTAGAAGGCCTGTGCGTGTGTGTGTGAATGTGTGTCAATTTCTCTCTTAAAGCTTTTTCTGGGCTTAACTATCTTCAAATCGATAGCCGATCAAGAAAAATTGACAAATCGAACAACCAGCCATCGCCTTAGCCGATGCCTACTAACCCCGAGGCTTTTCTACTAATTGGGATTCCTTTTAACCAAATCCCTAAATTTCTCGGTATTTCAAGTTGACTGATCGTTTTTTACGGAATTCCCGAAATTAAATTTAGACCTTCGTAAGGGAAAATTATCCCATGATGCCGTCACCGGCCAATTATCGAACGAGGGGCGCAACGCATCACGTCGAACGACTGCTTTTTTTGTTTCGCGCGCGCTTTCTTCTGATTGGTTAATTGTGGTGCCATCAGGGCAGATTCTCTGAATCGATTTTTGCCCTGTTAACTTGTCACCAATCCCCTCGCGGGTACGCGCGTGCGTGTGCGCGCACCCACATTGGCCTGTTGACGCGTGCGCGCGCGCACACGTTCACTGTGTGGGCGCACACACGCACATACCGCGGAAGCATGCACGCGGTTGTGGGCTCGCAACGATCCCCAAGGTGAACGCACTGTCTCCCGCCAAATCTAGACGGTCACACGTTGAACCATGCTTATTACCCCAAAATCCATGTCTCATACCACCAAAATTGCAATGGATACTTACTGCCCCCTTTGGCTACTACATTAGTTCTAATAGATTGTGTTTTCTGAAAATTTTAAACCACTTTGAGTAATTTTTAGTGACAGGTTGTGTCCTCGTCAAATGCGCCTTACACTCCTTGTCGGATGGGCATTTCCATCGTAACCATGGTGACTTTCCGTGGTTTTTTTGGTGCCTGATTAATCAACTAATCAGAGCTGTCCTTACACCACCTGTAATACCAACGTCTCGTGTGCTACTGGATGGGAACTATAACAATAACTCAGTAAAATGTCCCTGTGTGTTACGCAGCTACGCACAAATTGCTTCGGTCTGGCCACTCGAAACTATCATGAAATCATCAAGGTCATTCTTTGTTAGTGGTTCGTTTTCTTTGGAACCGCCGATTTAGTGGTGGTCAGCAGAATGGCTCTAAAATAACAACAACAATCACAGCCCAGTTGCTATCACACCTTCCAGTATTTTCTTTTCTCTTCATCGGGTGCGATCGGTGTAGGTGGTGGTTTGCGTCACCCCCCCCCCGCGTCCGCTCAACGGTGATTGGTCAGTTCGCTGTGAAGGTCGCCATCTCCTTTTAGTGACCACAACAGTGCGCACGCTTGGCGTACATAGGAGAGGTTTATTTGTTCGCTTCATACGCTTTGATAATACTACAGAAATACATGGTTGAAGTAAAATTTGATGCATTTGACTTAGCTCAGTTTAATGAGTCTGGGTGACCATATGAGCAGTGGTTGCTCCTAGCACGTCATGGGTCGATAATCATCGACCTTCAAATCTCCACTGACTCACTTTGAGTCAGACTGTAGAAGTGAATTCGAGGTTTAACGCAGCCAAAAAATGTTTGTCCAAAAAGGGCTTTTGATACACCAATTTAACGAAAAGTGTGTCTGCGTATGTGTGTGCTTGTTTGAGAGATTTTTTCAAAGTGTGGCTCCTTTCTGGGAAATATCTTGAAGTCCCCGCGTTATTGCTATTGATTTTGTTTAAATCGGTGCTAATAGCACTCATGTTCCTAGTTCTAAAAATAGCCGCCAATTCACAACTCACGGCTTCCTAATTTGCAAAAACACGTCAAATACTTCAATCTACGTTCCACTGTGAATTCCTTATTTTCCCTCAGATGCCCCTAAAAGTCAAAAACTTTTCCAATCAACGTTTGTGGTTGTAAATTCGCCTCCTTTCTCTTTTCAAAATCTTTCCAAATGACTAATTATGTACCTTACCTCCACGGAAACGCATTGCACAGGAAGGTTAGATCAGTGTGGCATGTCTTTAGCAGCGTAAACCTTTTTCCACACAGAATCAGCCGTGATTGGTGTCAGGTTTACAATGAGAAATTCAGGAGAATGCCAGAAACGTCTATCACGCTGCCTCTACTCAAGCCTTCTTCCAGTGCTGTAGTTTTTAAAACAAAACCCACGTAACTAGTTCGTTATGCCAGAATCGATTGAGCACTTTTAGCAATGTGTTGTTGCTGTAATCACGATGGGTCAAATCAGCAAATCCAGGTCGTGGTTACCGCAGAGGGGATCTGGCGGGTTGCTAGGCAACGACTCAAGGCCGTTTGGTCGCGAGTGGCACCAATCAATACGTTCAGAGGGACCCAAATACGATTCTATTCGTACTTCACATCCACTGGTCCCGTTGACATAACGACGCAGCCACATCCATGAAGGTCTTGCGTGGCTAACAAACCAACTAACTCCGCGTTGCGAGGTCGTAGTTGATGGAAAGGGTTCAGTAGAATTCATTTATGTCTTCGGTTAATGAAATTGAATCATGCAATCGGCAACTCGTCTGTTTTCGCGTATTATGTGGTCGATTTTAGAGAGCTAAAACGACGTCAAATTCCCCTTGTCTTGCATCTTGTTGCCTGAATGTAGCACGATCGCCTCTTTGCGTCGTGGTTGTCATTCATCTACGTCTGCGTCAAAACTTGGGCGTTTTGTGTTCGCTTTTTTTTTTAAGACGACGTTTTCCACAGTTTTGGCGTCCACGCCAGGAGTTTAATTTTGCCGTTACGCAGTAAAATAACCAGCCAGAGGGCATGGTCCGCACTAATCGATTATTCCATAACTTGGTTGTCGCACTCGGTTCTTGAAAAAGTCGACACATCGCATTTTTGTGAACTTCTGCCGTAGATAGAGCATGACTCATTCGTGCAGCTGATTGGTCCAAGGTTGAACTCGTACATCTGAGGGCATGTTTGGTGGGTCTGAATTTCCCGCCCAGGTCAATTCTAACGCTGATTGGTTCTCTTGCAGTACGAACTCTGGATGACGTGGTGCGGTTGAACAAGATGATGGCGAGTGTTGGCTGGAGTGATCGTGACTGCGATGGCATTCCTGATCACCTTGACCCAGACGACGACAATGATGGGTATTTCGACAAAAAGCAGGTAAACCACCATTTTAGTGGGAGGACATCAACTCGACCTTCTTCTTGAAGTCCTTTTGCACATCCAATTTCACTCTCAAAACATTCGAACAACAGGGCACGTTGCATCCACGATTTTCCGTTTCCCGTTTTCGATCAAATTATTGGGTTTTGGGGTGTTTGTGTGTGTGCTTTGCCTGTTACTTGGTTAGGTATTCTTATGTAAACGTCCAAACCACAAACTCCAAAATTGGCAGCTTCTAAATCAGAGCTATTCAATGTGATAGGTCAGCCCACTTCCTGTAGCCTTAGCCATTTGATTCAACCACATTTGGGGTAAAATGGGCACAATTCGACAAGGCACGATTGTGTTTACCTTCAAAAACGGTAGCTAATTGGCAAATCGAGGTTTAAAATTGTAATTTCTAATTGAGATGATGTGGAAATGTCCAAGATCTGCAGCAACCTGCTTCCATCCAATCAGCTATTGAGTGCAAATCACAGGCCGAAAGAGCGAAGAGCATTCGCACAAAAAATTCATTTTAGACAGTAAATTTTCCAATTGCCAGACAGACAGAATTCTTTTGCTTCGGAATGGAACATAAATGGGTTAGCCGTCGCTATTTTTGCATACTTCACTTGTCGCATCGATCGAAAAATCGATTTTTTCCAATGTTGCATCAGTGTAGTTGCTCTCATTCACCTCTAATTAAAAGCGCCACTTCATTTTAAAGTAAAATATCTTGGTGGAATTGTAGGATAGTGATCGGGATGGGATTTTGAACGAGTACGATGACGACGACGACAACGACGGGATTCCAGACATTGAAGATTTGGATGCCAACGGCGATGGAATTCCTGACTGTGTCATCCAGGTCTGTTTCGACGCAATCACTCGAATTCTTGCTTCTGCAGTCTCGTGTACCCAGATGATTTTTACCGCTTTAGGATTCTGACGGTGATGGAATTCCAGACCATATCGACACGGACGACGACAACGATGGAATCCCCGACCTCAAAGATCCAAACCACAAGTTCTTCAACTTCTTCCGCGACAGCGATAATGTTAGTCAAGTAGCCTAATTATTTTTCGTGTCTAGACCCAAATTATTCCATTAACTCAAGCCGTTGTACCGAAAGGCCCACTTAGTTCACCAGAGCTTGAAATTATTAGCTGGTTTTTGCACAATTTTGACACGAAGCTATCCACACGACCAATAGGACGCGTGGGTGATTACAAAAGTTTGTGATTTGACTATAGTAATTCCTCTTTCATGATTGTGTCATTATTTGAATCGTGGTTTTGTCTATGTCAAAATGGTGACTTTAATGTAAACGATACCCGTTGCTATGGGTAAAATCGCTTTATCGGTCCCTTTCCGTTTTGACGAAATGGACCAAAGTTGACCGTGTTTCCACAGCTATTTCTCTCCTCTCTCTCTCGTTAACAGAACGAAGGTTGTAATGCTGCATCCGGTGAAAGCGTTGCCATGATTTTGGTAGCAGGATTGCAGAGAAATCACTTTGTACACACTTCTTCCCCACGGAGAAGTGTTTTGAGCAAATAGACCAACTCAGTGTTGGATCATGCTTGTATTCAAGTTGAAATCAAAAGGGCGATTTTGATCGATCTTCTGGCATTCATAGCGACCTGATCTGTGATTTGGTGAGCAATGTTTCAGAAGCTACCACTGAAGTGGTTGCAAAGAGACTACATTTTGGCAATTCGACAGCGTTTTGCTATTCATGCCAACTTGGATACGCTTCGACACGCGATTTACGTTTGTCCTGGGTGGGTCGCGTGTCCACAGCCACTTGCTTGTCACCGAAACAAACCTCTGTTGGATCATGTCTTAACTCCAGATGAAAAGCGGTTTCCTTCTGAAGGCGTGGAAGCGAAGGAGTGGAATATATGGCAAAGACTGAAGTGTTCATCCAATGAAAGTCCAGTTATGGTTGCAGAGCTTCCTCAACGAGTGGAAGTCCTGCGAGCAACTCATCAAACTCTGTGTTGAAATCCACGGAAAACGTCCAACAACAAATGGTAGTCGGATGGGGCCAAGTCTGGAATCCGTAATACAGTATACCCTTCATGTCCCCACGCCGAAAACAGGGAAACCTTCTTCAAGTGGATGTCCTGTTTCGGCATCGATGCACTATTGGGATGCCCAGGATCTACACACGTCTGTTTACGTTTGGAATTCTCGTTAAAAATATACCCATTCACTGCTTGTTGCCCATGGACAAGCAGTGAGAGGCATGTTGGTCCGAGTTGTGTTTGGTCAGCACATGTGGGGGCACCCAGCTTCCACGTTTCCCATTTAGTGGTGTTCGGGTGACTCCCAACTGAGCTGCTGCAAGCTTGTCTTGCGTTTGCTTTGAGTCTTCATCCAGCAGAGCTTGCAATTCCGCATCTTCATTCTTTCGAGGCTGCTGTCCGGGGCGCGGCTGGTCACTAATACCGAAATCACCACTTCTAAAACGCTTGTACCAGTAATTACACAACGTCGGCGGCACCAGGAACACTACAAGTTGATTTCTCCTGTGCTTTGGAAGCATTTTTTTCCTATTTGGAATTCATGTTAAAAGCAGCGCCACCGAATGTGCTGTTTATCTGTTACCATCGTCGTAAAGTCTACCATTCTGAGAGGCTAATTAACTCACGTAAACCTGCCGTTTTTTTCCTGGAACCTTGCATCCGATCCCTTCAAAACCACGAAAGACCACATAGTGTTTTAGACGGCAGTCAATGTGTTTCTTATGACGAATTCAGAAGCAGTCTTACAACAATCCCCACAAACAAATTCATGGCAGTTTCGTTGTAATGGAAGATGATGGGGAGGAGGTACATTATTGATTTACGAACACTAAGTTTCATGTGAATGTGTAACACGTAATTGGGTACGGACTATTTTAATCACTCAGAACTATTCCAATTCACGAAAATACCCCCTTCATCGGCGTCTTTTCACAGCTTTACACGAATCGCTGTCTTCTGGAAATCGAGATAGTTTTCGAGTTTGGCATTTGTGCCTCTGAAGTTGTAGTTTGGCATGATTGCGCAGCTATAAACGACAGGTTGGCACAACGAGACGGGTTTGGCAGTTGGTGTAACTTGTGTGGTAACCTGGCCAGCGCCCATGAAACGGATGCCTCCCCTCCCCAAAACCTTTCGACTAAGTGGTCACGTTCACATCCCTGGTAAACTGGATGATATTTGCACAACACCCTTTCCCACCAATGGCAGCTTAGTAGCACAGGCTTGCACATTTTGGCTTGTTGTTACTGCAATGCCTCTAATTACCGGGATCAATGGCATTTGTGCCCTGGTAACTAAGAATCAGGGCGTTTCAACGCAGAAACAGTGCAGAATAAACCTTTGAGCAGTTGGACGCAAGGCTTGATCACCTCTTGAAAATTTTGCCACACCACTCTATTAAAGTGTTCACCTTTACGTATAGGCATTCAATCAGCTGTCAAGACGTTCTGACTTGTTGCTGTTGTAGGATGGGATTCCAGATATCCTGGATCGGGATGACGACAATGACGGAATTCCCGACCACCTCGACACGGACGGTGTTAGGGGTCTGGGCATTGATACTGACGGCGATGGCTTTCCAGATGCCATCGACGATGACATGAACGATGACGGAATCCCCGACCACCTTCAGGACCACGACTGTGACGGCATTCCGGACATCTTGGACCCAGACGACGATAATGATGGATATTTCGATAACAAACAGGTAGCGCATGGATTTTTAGACCCCTCGTCTTTCACCTGTTCATCGTTGTCCTGATTTACTTCTTGTTTTCTTGCGTTCCAGGACAGCGACAATGACGGAATTCTCAATGAGTGGGACGATGATGATGACAACGATGGAATCCCTGGTAAGGATGTGTTTACGTTTTATTCTTTCCCGCGCTGACCCTACCTACCGCTTAACTCCCTCTCGGGGGGGGTGACCGATTACCTCGGATGATAAATGTGGTGTTATTTTATGTGCGTGCAAGCACTTTCCTTTACCTTTCAAGTCCTTTAATTACACTCGTAAGTTCAGCAATGAACAACTGTTGTGACCTCCTGGGCTTCATAATTATTGCGGTGAACCTCCCTGCAATCCAATTGGTCCGTGGAAGGACACTGGCCTCGAAGTTTGATTGGACGTTCAAACACTTGCATTAGGGGTAAAAATCGTGTGTCATTGTGATAGGCGGTCGATACAACGACAAATCTGTCGCTACTGTCATGTGTTTTAACAGATTATCGTTTATATCGGCGCAAGAGGGATTAATAATTTGGGTGCTTTACACCTAGTCGAGTCATTCAGCCCCGCGGCTAATAAATTGTGTGATTTTTTGGGAGTTTGGTCGCACGAATTTATGACAAACTTGACCTTGCACATTGGGACAGTTTTATACGTCCCACACGAAGACTCCTTATTGGACGGTCGTTATTGATTCTGCCAGGCGCGGCCTTGTTGTCCAGATTCCTGACAGCGTAACTTAAATTTACATCAATAATTTTAAAAAAAATTTGCGTTTTAAAATAAAAGCCTTGGCCTCAGAAGAGTATCTTGATTTTCCAGAAAATCTGAGTGTATAGGACATCCATTTGTAATTTAGACACGATTTCTTCGCTAATTCTCAAATAATTAACTCTAAAATAGTTAAGTTTGGTAGTTTCCGAACCGATTTCTGCGAACTAAGCTCTAGGCAGACTGCTGAAAGACCTCTTCTCGTTAAATTCTCATCTTCTGGCTTAGTTTCCACGACGATCTCACAATTTACCAACCTCTAGTTCGTCGAACTGGTTATTCTTGTACACCCAAAGCCCCGATGTGATGTTTGCTTTCAATTCTTCCAGATTCCGAAGACGAGGATTCCAACGGCGATGGAATCATCGACTGCCAGCCGAAAGACTCCGACGGCGACGGAATTCCTGACCACCTGGACGACGATGACGACAATGATGGAATCCCTGACCACCTAGATCCCGACCATATCTCCTTCCTCATGTACAAACCCAAGAATCTCGAGGCCATGTCAGGCAAGTCGGTTCAGACGGAGCCGCTAACCTGGTATTTTATTGCCCCACTTGAAGGAGTCCATTGCGTCCGAATAAAAGTACACTTTCGCCTCACGTGATCCCTAGTTAGTCGGGTGACTTCAGCTACTTGGTTTAGCCAGTCTTGCAAGTCGAAAACATTATTCTCCCCTGCATTCTCTGTGTGTGTGTTCATGGATTGCTTCCTCTTGAATAAAACGGAATACTCTCTGATCTGCATTTTCCACTTCAGCCCAACAGGCACAACACGAGGCAAACACCATGGCAGCCGACTTAGGAGACCCAGGAGACAAAGACTGCGATGGAATTCCGGACGAGGAGGACGATGACATGGACAATGATGGAAAAATCGATCGGACCCAGGACTCTGACTGGGACGGTCTGCTCAACCACATCGATGACGACGACGATAACGATGGTATGGCGTTTGCATGACCTCTTCGTTTCTTCAGCCCCTGAATCAGCCATTTTCAAGCTGACGACTTTCTGGACGCTTCTAGGCATCCCCGACGCACTGGATCCTGACGCCAACGGTGACGGCATTCCAGACTGCAACCGCAATAAATCGATCAGCTACCACGTGGTACGCACTTACGGTGGAGCCATCAAGAAGGTCATCAAAGTGCGTCAACTCACTGAGGAGGAGGACGCGCTGACACGCCTGAAGGAGGCCGTCGACCACCGTCTGCACCGCATCCGCGCGCTAATGGATCCGTCAGATGTTCTGCCAACTCCGACGAAATACGTCAAGAGCTCCCGCGCCCCCATCCTCAGTCCGATCGTCACGAAGAAGCCCTCGGCTGCCGCATCGCCGAAGAAGCCCATTCCGCCGAAGAAGGTGAAGACGGTGGCGCGGTTCGTGAAGAAGACGGTGGCGGACCCACCAAAACCCAGGGTTCCCGTCGGGCAGATTGGAAAACGCAAGCTAGCTGGATTGTATTTGCGGGGAGACGGAATGCCGGAAGGCCACGACTATGATCGACTCTTCCACGAAGAGGACCTAGACGTTATGCCGGATGTCGAGGAGGTAAAAAGCCCGCTTTTTTCATGTAGTCTAATTCTCTTTAAATCGTGTTGGCGGCGAGACCGCATTGCCTCGTGTTTCGGCATCCACTCATGAGCTAGAGAATCCGGCTATAAGAAGTACTGTTCTACTGTGGAAGATGTTCCATGTAATTGCAATTAGTTGAGGCTTTGAAAAGTGTCGCTAAATGTGGAATTGCTTTAAAAAATTCCACCGTCTTCCAGGAGGATGATCACCTCCCCGATGACTCTCACGAGTTGCCATTCGATTTTCCAACTGACTTCGAGGAAGAAGAAGGAGAAGAAGAGGAGGCTGACGAGGGAGTGGAATTCGAGATGGAGGAAGATGAAGTCAGCGAGGCTGATTTCTCGCCGTTCGAGGAGGAAGCAGAGGATACGCCGCAGTCTCCGTCCATGCTCGATTTCGGAGCTTTTGGTGAAGGCGAACACGAAGGTCAGTATGACGTCCACTCTTGTCCCGAGAAATGCCACAGAGTAGTCATTCAGCTATGAGTGTGTGGTTTGCAGGTTCTTCTTTGATAACAGCAAACGCATCTAAGGATCACAACTGGACCACTTTATTCCTCATTAATTTGCCAATTTAATGCCTACAAGGGATTGGTTTAAGGAAGTACTAATGTGGAAACGCTTGGAGATCGCTGCCGTCGTCCAGTAGAGCTTACGACTCCGCGTTTTCAAACTTTCGGGGCTGCTAGTCACTAAGATCAAAATCAGCACATTTAAACCTTTGTATTAACATTTAAAAGTTTCGTAAGACACCGCGTCGGCGTAATGAACACTACCAATTGGATAAAATGTCGTGTTATCGAATGTGCTGTTTATCAGTTGCCATCGCAAGGTCTGCCATTCTGAGAGGTTGTGCGATTCGCATGGACCTGTTGTTCGGTGTTTTGAAAAACCTTGTGTCCGATGCTTCCGCCACCACGAAAGACCGCTAAAATATTTCTATTTTAAAAATAATTTTAACCCCGATGAAAAATCTCTACAAATGCGTTTACACCTCTGTGTTTTGCCTGATAATACACTAATACGATTTTACTAATTGGTGTAATTTTGCGTCCCGACTAGACGAGTTCGCTCAGGACGATGTGCCGCCGTTTTTCGGACGCAGGTTGCTCCAACTGGGCGCCAAGAATTCTCCGGCGTCCGCGGAAGGCAAGCCCAAACGTGGTGTGAAGAAGGTTGCCAAGAAGCAGCCTTCGAAGGGCGAGACGATAAGTGATTACTTGAAGGACGACGATGGTGACGGCATTCCAAATTACCTCGACAAGGACCACAAGCTCTTCAAAGCTCAGGCCGTCGCAAAGCCCGCTGCCTGCACCAAAAAGGACGGCTCGTGCAAGCAGCCCAGCGCGCTGAAACACCGACCTTCAACTCGAGATTCGGACAGTGATGGGATTCCCGACTACCTGGAAGACGATGACGGCGATGGGATTCCAAATTACCTCGACGAGGACAGTCCTACCTTCTCCAGGCGTTACAACTTCTACATGAAACTGATCAAGATGCTGGATGCCGACGGTGACAATATTCCTGACGTGTTGGAGGTTGATACCGATTCGGACGGGGCTCCTGACTATCTGACTGATGCCGATAAAGATGGAATGCTTGACTACTACGAAGACGATGACGGTGATGGGGTACCAAATATGCTGGATCGCGATAGCAGGCTGTTTGTGTTGAAGGGCAAGAAACTTCCAAAGCACGTTGATCGAGATGGTGACGGTGTTCCAGACCACTTACAGGGCGATAAAGATGAAGATGGCATTCCCGACTACCTGGAAGATGACGACGGAGATGGAATTCCAGATTTCCTGGAGGACGACGATAACGACGGAATTCCAAACTTCTTGGAAGACTCTGATGGCGATGGAATCCCCAATTACCTAGACGACGAGCCCAACGTACCCAAAAAATTGAAGCCGAAGCTTCAAATTCCCAGAGGGAAGAAGGGTGGGAGGTCACGCCACGAAAAACGCCTCACAGTGGCGGACTCAGACAATGATGGAATTTCTGATCTGATGGAAGACGATGACGACGATGGGATCCCAAATTACCTCGATGACTCAGATGGTGATGGAATTCCGAACTACATGGACAAGGACAGCCGCTATTACATGAAGGCGAAAGTTAGGAGGCTTGTTTTAACAGATAAGGATGGTGATGGAATTCCTGATCCCTGTGATGGTGATAGTGATAATGACGGCATCCCTGACTACATGGAAGACGCCGATGGTGATGGAATTCCTGACTGCATCGACCTTGAAGTCTCTCACCGCCAGGAACCCAAGCGAGTCCAAAAGCTGGCTCGTTTTGTGGACAGTGATGGCGATGGTGTTATGGATCATCTTGAAGACGAAAACAGCAATGGCATTCCGGATGCCCTGGAAGGTGATGCTAACGGCGACGGTGTCCCCGACTACTTGGAAGACGCTGATGCTGATGGAATTCCCGATTACCTCGAAGATGCCGATGGAGATGGAATTCCTGACTACTTGGATGAAGATCCGAGCATATTTACTCTAACACACTTTAAACAAGCGAAGTTGTCGGCAAAAATTGACAAGGATGGCGATGGAATCCCAGATGCTTTGGAGGATGATTCCGACGGCGATGGTATTCCTGACTACCTCGAAGACTCGGATGGCGACGGTATTCCTGACTACCTCGAGGATCAAGATGGAGATGGAATTCCAAATTACTTCGATAATGATTCAAACTCGGACGCTGATCTTCCACTCGTAAGTCAGTCCGATGACAATGACGACGACGACGACGCTGATGTGAGCGATGAGATATTCAAGCAGGATACCAACAACAACGGAATTCCTGACTACCTAGAGGACTGGGATGGCGATGGCATTCCAAACTACTTGGAAGACGCGGACAACGATGGAATCCCTGATTATATGGATAAGAAAGACAACCGGAAAAAAGACAGGCCGTCTCGGAAAGTTGTGAGAGCCAGGATGATGGAGGATGCCGATGGCGATGGAATTCCAGATGCTCTCGAAGGTGACACTGACGGTGATGGTGTTCCTGATTATCTTGAAGACCAGGATGGTGATGGAATTCCCGACTATCTTGACGATGATGTCGATGGCGATGGTGTGTTAGACGACGAAGATGATGATGACGGAAATGGGATTCCTGATTACCTAGAAGGTGATAGTGATGGAGATGGAATTCCAGATTACATGGAAGACGAGGATGGTGATGGAATTCCTGACTACTTAGACGATGATGCCGATGGCGATGGAATTCCTGATCATTTGGAGGGAGACAGCGACGGCGATGGCATACCAGACTATCAGGAAGATTCAGATGGCGATGGTATTCCAGATTACCTCGATGATGACGATGATAATGATGGAATCCCCGATAACTTTGATGCCGATATGGATGGCAATGGAATTCCAGACTACCTTGAAAAGGACTCCGACGGTGACGGAATTCCTGACTATCAGGAAGACCAGGATGGTGACGGTATTCCTGATTACATGGACGACGACGTAGACGGTAATGGTATCCCAGACCATCTGGAAGGCGATTCCGATGGTGACGGCGTTCCAGATTACATGGAAGATGCCGACGGTGATGGAATTCCTGACTACTTGGACGGTGATGACGACAATGATGGCGTGCCTGATGCCGAAGACAACGACGATGACGGCGACGGTATTCCTGACGACCAGGAGGATACCGATGGGGACGGGATCCCTGATTACTTGGACACAGATGATGATAATGATGGCATTCCGGATGTTGTTGACACCGACGATAATGGCAATGGAATACCGGACTATCTTGAGGTTGATTCCGATGGTGACGGAATTCCCGACTACAAGGAAGATGCTGACGGCGATGGAATCCCAGACTACCTAGACGATGATGATGACAATGATGGCATTCCTGATCATCTTGATGATGACGACGACGGTGACGGCATTCCTGACGATCTCGAAGGTGATTCTGACGGTGATGGAATCCCCGACTACCTGGAGGACGCGGATGGAGATGGAGTCCCGGATTACTTGGACGAAGATTCCCCGGCATTTCGGGGCAAACAGGCGCCTCCTCGGCCTGAGGCCGTGAAGCCTTCAAAGAAACCTGTTCCCGTGTCTAAAAAGGGTCAGTTGCCAGCTTTTTTTTTTCATTCTTCGTGTAGCTCTGGTCCTTATTCCGCGATGAAATGCTTGCATGGTTTGAAGTAGATGTGGCGTGTCTAGACATCCGTCCTTTCACTGTTTAGTGGTTGACAAAAACAAAAACGGTCGTCCAGACCACTTGGAGATGAAGGATACGGATAAGGATGGCATCATCGATCTCTACGATGAAGACGACGACAACGACGGAATTCCAGACGCTGAAGGTACTCGCTATTTTGCCCATTCAGGTCACGCGTTGGTAGGCAGTGGCGTTGCTAAGGGAACGTCTCGTACGTCTAGGGCATGTGTGTCATGATTCAAGCATTAACTAAATTTGATTACAAATCAATGCCAGCTAGGCTCAACAATTGTGGCGACGATGCGGTTGTTCGATGAACCTGATTGGTTGGCAATTTGAATCGAAATGATCCGCTTGTTTTTTTACTAAGATGATGATGATGACAATGACGGGGTGCCGGATATCTACGAAGACGAGGACGGGAACCAGATGTTGGATTACCTGGAAGGAAAAGACACCGACGAAGACGGAGTGCCGGACTACCTCGACGACGATGACGACAACGACGGAATTCCCGACAGCGAGGATGATGACGATGATAACGATGGTAGGGAAGCGGAATGACTGCTAAGTATACTGTTTGTGACGACTTGCCCAAACTACCAATTGCAATCTGGTATTTTGGGGGAAGTCTGCGAGTGATTAAAGCCAATGAAATCGTTGTCATTCCATGACGCACTTTGTAGTGGACTAACCTGGCCCGCAAATGGATTAATTTAGGCATGAGCCACTGAAACTGACAAGAACCACAGAGTCAGCTCATACACCACCCTTTGGTGTGTTTCAGGTATTCCAGACGAAGAGGAGGACGAAAACATGAATCGTGTGCCCGACATCGAAGAAATGAAGGATTCTGACGGCGACGGTACGTTGTTGTGTTGTTGCCTTACTGTACTGAGGTTTTGAGGCAACACAAGGTGAAACTATATTGACTTTAGGTCATTTGATGGAGCATGCATCAGAAGATTTAGGCGCGTGACATCTCTATCCACTTCCATGTCTAAGTACCTATCCAAGAATACCAGAATTCGCTGTATCTCATTCATCAGTGCTACTTTTAAAAGTAGTCCATGAAAATGCCTTTATCGCCTCCAGGGAAAGATCTGCTAAATCATCAGTTTGACTATCGTAGATAATGACAATTGGGTTATCTTTGGTGGACTTAGGAGAGGTCTCTAACTAAATGCCTAGTCTCTATTGGTGCTCGTGTATGCCTTAATGCGAAGAAGAATGTTGTAAATGCCATCAGAATCGAGCTCTCAATTTTTGGATGTCTAAGGCTAAATCTACAACAAAAAAGGCCACTTTACGACAAATTCAAATTCACATGCCCAATCCACGAGTTGAAATTCTCGACAAAGTGTACGTGTTATCATAGACAGCAGATGTTACAATGAGAACACGTTTTACCTGGGCGCCACCCATATGGTGAGCGAGTTGTAATTGGCGCTCCGGAAGAACTATAATTAAAACAACGAACAAATCAAGAATGTCGGCGAGGACGAATGCGTCAATTGGGTTTCTTTTCTTGCAGGAATCATCGATTTACTGGACACAGATGACGACAACGATGGAATTCCCGACTACCTCGACGACGACGATGATGGAGATGGCATACCGGATGACAAGGAGGACTCCGATGGTGACGGGATTCCGGATTACAAGGAGAAAACGCGACCTCCTCGTAAAATCCCCTCCCCTCCTCCAATAACCGGTGAGTTGGCCTGCTCAACCTTCCGTGGTAGCAGGCATTGACTGAATCTAACCACAACCTATGTTTTTAGCCAAAATGCCCAAGGTGGCACCGAAATTAACACCCGTCACTCCCGTCTTAAAGAAACCACCTCCTGCGCCACCCAGACAGCCAAGTAAACTGATTTAACCTCTCCCCCTCCCCACACACGCACACGCACGCACACACACACGCCAACACCTATTTATCTTGCTTGATCGTACGGCCGTTAGTGCACTCTTTTTTGGCAACTTGTTGATTTTTCACGTCTGAAGGCAAAACTTAAGTCCTGTTGAAGCTATCCGATGGTGTGCACCCATCACGCGGTTCTACATTGGCCCTCTCGACTGATCTGCCTTTTGCGTTTGCGCCTGAAGCAGCATTTGTGTTGAAAGCTGGTCTTGTCACCGAGTCGGCGGCGCAAGCCAGCATGTTTGGTTGCCCTATGCGTCCAATGGCGGGCCCTGTCGAGTCGTTGTCGCAGCACATCCACTAAGCCAGCCCTCTTTGCCTTCCAGCCAAGAAGTCCTCTAAGACTCCGCCTCCTGCGCCTCTTCCTTCAACCCCTGCTCCTCTGAAACTCAAGCAACCAGCGGCGCCGCCTGAATCGGGTAATCTTCAGTGCATTTAGCTGTCATAATGTCCAGTTCTTCTGGAGCTAGCTGAACGAGCGTTTTTGCGTTGACTTTCAGCTAGGAAACCGGCCCCTTCACCGGCCAAGCCTCCAGGATCGAAGCCTCCCGTGACAAAAATTGAACGTGGTAACTCGCCAATCCTCCTTCCTTTGTTGCACAGCATGCGTTTTTGTCATGGTAGAGTCGCAGGCCGTGTTGCATTGATTTGCTGCCTGGAATGCCCGTCAGATAGCCCTTTGAATGGTCCTGTCCCAAGTGATGTGTCATTGGCGGAGAGCTGCATTGGCTCTCAGAGACCACCTAACGACCAAGCCGTTGTCAAGAGACACCTGAGTAACAGTCTGTGTGTGTGTGTGTGGTTACTTTCAGTTCAAGTGCCCGATGCTGTTGCTGCGATCGACAAAACCTCATCCCCAACGCCAGAAGGCACGGACATCTCCCTACGCAAATAACCCCCTTTAGAGGTGCTGGCATCCTACTTACAAATGGACTTGTTAATTTCTGTCTGTGATTTTAAACCCCTTGTTGGTCACTAGCCCTTATTCGGCGGATGCCTGAGCTACTACCGTGTTGCCTGTGAATTAGTATTGCAAATTTTAGATAAAACTGCTCCTGACTACCCACCTAACATCTGGTCATATGGCCTATTGGAGTTGTGTTTGTACCAAGTATTAAAAAAAAAATCACCAAGAGTGCTCACATTGCGGACTTAAACTTGGCGCCTTTTGTAGTGATGCTGCGGTTTTTCTTGAAGTGATGTCTGGTTTACGGCTAACACGACTACGTCTGAAACACCAAGCACATTTGATCTCAAAACTGGACGTATTTTATTGCAAAAGACTAGCGCAGAAGCCCTGCCTCCATTGGTCACTTTGCCCAAAATCTCTGCGTTATTAGGGCAAATGATTGGCTAACATTCGGCCAATCATGTTTCAGGCTTTGTTTATATCTAAGGAAAGTGTGGATTTTGGTTCGACATTGTCCATTTTCCAAATTCTTTCTCTCTGAACACAGTGTAGAGTCGTGTTTAGTCGCGTTCTGAACCAACTGGCGTTGCTTTGAGACCCACCTGGCTGTAACCATGCAGTAGAAATCCTTTCTGTATTCAGAGAATGCGGAATGCATCTTCTTTCTCACACTGTTCAAGTCATTCATGAGGAAATCGAGGGGGGGCAGTTTGTCCACACCCTCGGCTTTCTCACTACCAATTATCATCCTCCCATCAGACGGTTCGCGTGCTTTGTGGACGCGCGACACCACAAATTTCCCGCGCATCACTTTGGTGGTACTTAGCTGCGCATGAGCACTCCACTGTGCTAGCCATAGCTCGATACTCCCAAAGACTCCCGGGTTGGTGTAACAACACACGCCTTATTCCTTGCAGCCAAGGTGGTCCATTCGCGAGGCAAGGCAGACAGGAAGTCAGTCGGTGCCCTGAGTAAACTTTACGTATTTACTTCGATCAGAGCGCATGTCGACATAACCCTGGCCCCAATGCCGACAGGTATCACCTACTTACCCCGCGTGTTTCCCTCTTTGCAACCAAACGAACGCATGGCGGCGTCGCTAGGCGACGATTAGTCCTGTAGGTCGTCGTAGGTCCTTTGTAGATGTCCATGCGTGTGATTGGGTCTTATTATTGTTATCACTGACAATGGAACAGGATGAGGCAAGTGCTTTTAGAAGTGTGTTTCGTCACCCTCTTAGTAAAAATTGAGGTTGAAATGTGTGATGTGGCTACAATTTTTGTAAAAGTTATAGCTAATCTACTTCAGGACGTGTACCTTGGTTTTTAACCAATAGTTTCGTTGTGCATTGTGTAAATGATCTGTGACATTCTTTGCGTCAGGCGTTGATGTGATTGGTCAATTTGCGAACCAATCAGAGATCTCGTCTTGTTCTGGGGTCTCCTCTTCTTTGTGAGCCAGCTATGCTTTAGAAGGTTTATTACTTGGCCGGTCACGTAGGCAGGTGTGGCTGAAATTTTGCATGCACTCAATCGCTGCGCTTTTGCTCCTCGTCTTTGTCTAGAAAAGACTTTGCAGGCATATTTGCTCAAATGCACATGTCCCATCCTCCCATATTCTGCATATCCATGATATCTAGAATGCGTTTATGTGAGTAGAACGAATTCTATTCATTTTTCGACACATTTTGCGGCTTGCTGTGCACTATCTGTGTTCAGATTGGTTCGTCGGCAGTGTTCGGGCACTTTAACCCTGGATGGTCTCTTTCAGAGAAGTTGGGCGAAAAGAAGCGGCCGACCTTCGATGACGTCGACATTGACGAGGTCAAATCGGTCTTTGGAAAGGCTCCGAAGCCTCAGGCAAAGAAACCCGCATACTCCGACGAAGATGATGAACCGGCCAAGCCCTCGGCATTTCGACAATTCGTCCAGAGCGCGCTTCGACGCATGGAAGCCATTTTCGGTGTAGACGAGTAGCCCAACCACTTCCCCCCCTCCTCAACCTGATCACGTCTCCTTAAATTGAAGGAGGAGGTAGCACGTGCACCCATCCAAGTTTCGCTCATGGAGACACTCCTACACCCCCAATCCTAATTACTTACGCAAAGGCAAACCACACGCATCCCTGCCCCCAGCTACCGCTCTACAGCTAGGAGAATGACACGACCCACCTCGTTCATTTATCCCACCCCACCCCTTTCGCACTGCACTCACCATTCTTGTCTTCTCGCCCACATGTGCCTTTACCTATGCCAACCTCTACTTTATATTACGTCGTCAATTTCGACTCAGTTTACTTCTCAAACCAACCACGTGCAATACTGATGAATGAATATATTTTCACCTATTTGTACGGCCTCTCAGGCAGTTAACTTGGGCTAGATCTGATCAAAAAGCTGTTCAGTCATGCGAGAAAACCAAGTGAGATTACTACTAGTAACTTCTCTTTCGTTCAACAATCTGGAAAGCACTTTATACTTAAGTATGATAAGTAACACAGCCATATTCAAGAAGGCCAAGTGTGTGGACAGACATCCGAACTTAACTAGGCCGAGCAAAAACTCGCTAGCCCAATTTAAACAGCCGCAGAACCCAGTAGGTGTACAAGAGCGTGACTGGAAGAGAGAGAGGCGTCCAATAAGGTACCACCACTGCTAAGTGCCACAGCTAACAAAGTTGCCTTGACAACGCCAAACACTACAGTTTTCCCTGTAACCGTGCCTAAAACACCACTCGGCCACACTGGATTACCACCCAACAAACTTCGCTCAAAACGCCACCAATCACACGCAAGCAGGCTGTAGTAACAGGACACATGAACCGAATGATGGGCAAAGATACGGCAAGGACTCGTAAACGCGCGCGCCAGAGTTGGTGTGGGGGCGGAGGGGAATGTCTACGTGACAAGGACGCCGGAAGAGGAGGCGGGAGCGTTGCCGCCAGCAGCTTCGCCGTCGGAGTTGCCACCGCCGCCGCCGCCACCACCGGGACCTGTGGAGTCTTCACCGGCGATTTTGATCTTATTCTCTTCCTTGTACACCTGCAACTCCTTGCCTTTCTCTTCAAACTGGCTACGTAGCATCTCCAGCGCCTCGGCCATCTACAACGAGAGGACAATAGGTAGACCAATCAGAAAGTGCAACTCACACCGAGCCAATGAGGCTTCAGTAGCAGAAAGTTGGTGATCCGTTGGCTAAAAACCTGGACCTCTGACCTACATGGAAGGCCTATAAAGGTTAATTGCCCATAACAGGCTGGAGTAAGGGCAGACCGGATGGTTGCACATGCTCGACAGACATCTAATACGATTCAAGCTTTTCGAAAACTGTAGTTATTGAAGACAATATTTATTCGATACAGACTTTTCTACGTCTTGAACACTAATGATTCCTTAAGGGTCCCTAACTACATAGCTAAACTCTTCTATGTGAAAGTTATTCCAACCTGAAACATTCGAACTACCTATTCAGTGTTTAGTTGTTGCTTGTTTCTACAACAGGAACAATTAGAACTTGAGCACTGGTTATTCCATTCAATTAGGAGTGGCGCCGGATCGGATTGAACCATTGCGACTACTTATTTCAGCTCCTCGCAATGAGTACAGCCGCCACGCGACGTAGCGCCCAGACCGAGCCACCAATCATGGACGGAGAAAAAGCAATCCCTGGGAGGCGTTCACACACACCGACCAATTGCATTGCCGCGTCACTGCAAGGCACACTGATTACCCTTGCTAATAGACGAGCTTGTGAAATAATTCACTGCGGCAGCAGCAGCAGCAGCAGGCAAATGCGCTACCCTACACATACACACACACCCGTGCGTGGAAAAGGGGTTTACGGCTGCACGAGTAATGATGATTGCAACAAACTGACTAGGTTTTGAATTAATTACGTGGATAAGCGGCAGAGGGTCTGTAAATGAAGTCCAAGCGCGCAGATTGGGTGGAACCAGAATAGAAGTCATAAATAATGCCAACAGGCGACAACCAACACGATAATTAGCTAGTTAAAAGTTAGGTGAAACCAGTTTTTTTTTCTAATAATCGTTGCAGAGACAGGCGAGCACAATTTTAGCTCACATGCTTCCACAAATCATGCGAAAAAGGTTAGCGTGTATTGAATGATATCAAACTCTTGGTTGGCTTAAAAACAGTCGTGATGCTACAGAGACTGCTTTTGAAATTGCCTAAGTTGTATGATTGCGTAAAATTGAAGACACTTGGATGTCACTATATGAGCCTTCCAATTGCGACTGAAGTAAAAATAAGCGTATCGATAACGAGGAAAGAACGACGAAGTTAAACAAAAACTAAAAATTCACGGACAAACAACGAACCTTTTTCTCGTTTGCCTCAAGAGCGGGAAGAACGTGTTTAACTTGGCGTTCAACAAGCACACCATCGATGAGGCGGAAGCATTTGCGCTCGGAATCCACATTTTTCAGGACTTTGATCACCATGCTAAAGAGAAATGAATACACGGCGCTTTGAAAGAAGATGCCCTTTAGAAACTGACAAAATTTACAAAATGCACTACACAGGATAAAACATGGGCCTTTTCGTGGCAAACATGAAGGCGGGTGATTAGTGGAAGGAGACTTTAAGACTTCCAATTTCAAGTATTAAAACTTTCAGTCAATTCAACAACTTGATTCTTCCCAGTTTATTTGAGTCTATTATAGAGATTGACCCAACTTGTTAAGTCTAGTAAATTGGTTCAATAATTTAGATTAAAACGAGAAGAGGCTTGTGGCATTTGCATTTCATGTCTTGACGCACATTTACAAATATCAACTAAAAAGTCATGGAAAAAATGAACCAGCTAATTAACAAATTGACATTGGATTCCCTACGAGGAATGACACCGCTGGGTAGAAGTATAAATTTATTTTAGGTGTTAATAGCAGTCACTCACTTGTGTTCACGCTGGTCCATTTCCAGCCCAGTAATTTTGTTAGCTATTGCTCTCTGTTCATATCTCAGCTTCTGAAATCCTTCCACTATCTGCTCTTCTGTTAACGGCTTGCCCCTGTCCACAGAGGCGGAACTCATTTGTCAACGATATCAACCACCACAAAACTGTGCACGCACTGTACGCTAAGATTGGTTGCACCTCAGACGTAGTTTCCGCCACACCAACGTAGTCGGTTAAATAAACTTTATCCAGACAGCATTTCTTCGGTAAAAAAAGATAATCTCAATTATGTAAAAATGTTCACCCACTTTTGATTGAGCCTAGAGTCAACTCAAAACTTCCGTGATGAGTCAAATCTCCCTCAATATCTGAAATGACAAAAATTTGTTTCGCAATACACAAACATAAATTAGCGTAGGACATTACAATATTAGTAGAAAATTAAAATGTCATTTGTTCATTTGCAATCATTTGGAAATTATGGCCATTTTGTGTGTCGGATTATTGCGTCGTGTTAACATCCTAAAATTTGCTTCAGAGACCTAAATTGCATATTTGAGACCACATTTTAGAGCATAATAACTCTATTTTTAGAATTCATGTTTGCCTAGTCCTTCTACAAGCCTGATTGATGGTGACAGCATCCTAAATTACAATTTTAGACTTTGGAAATATTTCACTCTGCCCACTCATTGGTGAGCCTGATCTGTGTTAAATTTTCTTTCACATTAGGTGATCCATTCTGTCTGCGATCTATAAGGTCATTTAAAAACAAATAAAATTCACTTGTTAAAGAACCTCTTTAAAGTTCTCTTCATTTTTGTGTTTCTAAGGTAAAAGGGCTTTCATACTAGGCATTTAAAAGGATTTCATTCCAAGGTTCCTTTAAACAACTTGTCATAACTAAAACTGTTTGACCTCTTTTTTCATGCATGAAGATTAGCTGTGGTGTCAATAAAGTTTTTGCAGCTAACTAGCAGGATTTTAACTTGCAAATTGGTTGGGATTTTGACAATCATCGATGCATTATTTGGCTTTTCTCTCATCAAAGGACGTTAAAATTTGAATGAGAAGTTCAAACTCGATCACTATTCAAATACTTTGCGTCGGTCAGCACCAGAACCGTTGATTAAATTACAAGAGCTAGACTATGAATGCCACATTTCACCATTGAACAAATAATCGGTAGACACGGAATACTTTGCTACAATTAAAGAACCTGTTGTTTACGATCGAATAATTTATGTTTGTCGTGAATTTGTCTTCCTGTCCGCGTGCCTACTAGTTAAATTCGAAAGGATTCAAGGTCAGACAGTTTTAACTTTGACTAAGTTCTGCGCATCCGCAAGTATAGCAAAACTACAAAAACACCAAAAGCCACAAAATTTAGCAATTATTCGCAAATAAACACTCATTATTTTCATTCACCAAGTTTAATTTTTGTAAACTGAGATTGTCGGATTTCGTTATTAATCTAAACACTAAATATATATTAAGTGCACCAACCTTAGAGCACACACAATTTATACAGTCTGTTGGTGAGGAAATACGGAAAAAGACTAAGCATATAAATAAGTATACGGTAGCAAATTTGTGGATAAAAATGGTGGAAAGCGTTATACAAATAACTCGTTAAATTGCAAACTTTCTACCGGGAATGTTGTCTGGTGCATAATGCAAACATTTTAACTTAACGAATCATGCTGGAGTTAATAGTCAAGATGTCTTCAATGCATTTAGGAGAATTCATGTGCGACCAGAGTGCTGGTACACTCTGCCTGAATATGTCTTTATAGATTATATTGCCATAACTTCCAATTGTAATTTGTAATGAATCTCTCTAAATGAGTCTGACTCAAAGTTCTAGAAGCCATCTGAAATAGTTGTCATAAGTTGTCATTGTCACTTTTGCTTCATGGTCGCTTCCGTTCCTTTTATAAAAAAAACTAAAAATATCTTTTTCCTGCTACGTTTCATCGATTCGAAACTCAATCCCAATCCAAGTAAAAGATCTGATTCATAAAGTTGTGATGCTAATTAAGTACCTACGTGGGCGCTAGAACAGAGAACGTATTGACCACACTAGACAGACACCTAAAGGCACTAGTCATTAAAGGCTCATGAAAAGGACCTCTCTAATAAACTATTGAAGTTACCACTATCTGTGCAAATCAAATGGTACAGGGTTTTTATGTTAATGGTTCCTAACATTACCCGGATTAGTTGAATTTTAGAGGAGGTTTTTCTAATGAAACTATCTTGTTTTTAGTTAAATGAAAATGTTTACCAGACTTTCGTTTTAGTACGTTGAAATTCAACGTGATCGATTGGTTTCGCTGCGGCGACTCACATTCTTGGCGAAATGTTTTACTCAAACGACCTACTCACGTTGAAGAAGGGACGTTTTGGTGTTTTATGGTATTTTCTCTACATAATGTAGACTTTTAAGGTTGGCAGCCACGCGCGGTGTTTCACATGTGAACAAACGGGATGTTATGGCAGTTGATATGTTGCGTTCTTGGTTTGTTCTCATAAACGTCATCATTGGTTTTCTGCTTGTTTAGTTCAGAATTATTGGAATATATCAATGGATCAAAGAGATCAAGACTGTCGCTTTATTTAGCAGCTCAACTGATGTACGGTTTGTGCCGTATTTACGCTGAGAAAGTTTCTATCGTTTTGCGTAAGTCTCATTTGCTTAATCAATTATCTAACTCTCTCGCTCTTGTGCTCTTTATTTTCTGCTCTTTATTCCTGTGGCAATTTCTAATAATAGGTGAAGCCCATGATTTGTATTCTCGGTCGTTGCTTTCTTTCCGACCTCAGTTGGTGCAAATAGACGAAGTTCGGTAAAGGTTGATTCAGTTTCCCGTTAAAGTTCAAAATTGGCCTTGTTATTTTGCAGCGTGCCGCGTTTTTGAATCACGCAGTAGCATTATCTGTAATTATTTCCTCTTTTTCTTTCAGGAAGTCACGTAGCAGAACCAGGGCAGATGTTGACATCGAACTCCCACTAACCTTTGCGGACGACTTTGGCTCGTTTTGTCTTCCAGGGCCACTAATGGCTTCACAGACGGATTTGGAGATAGTTCGCTGTTCTTAAAAATGACGCTTTTAGACCATGCCAAGCTTGGAAAATTCCTTTTCGTTGCAAGCCCGAGTCGAAGACATTACCTTAGTTGAGGCTGCCACCACGCCAAAGGTATGAGGCCTTAATCTGTAATCATTTATAGCATGATAACGTATGCCTGTTTGGAGAGGACTTCCAAAGCGCGTTCCAAACTGATGTGCTTGGCGAAAAGGTCGCTTCTTCTTCTGAAGCTGCCCATTTGGAAACTACGTAAGCCCAATATCAACTCAATTTACCGTTGGATGTTTCCTCTCCGCATCGTGAATTACATGTTTTAACGGTGTTTGTAGCAAGAAATTCACCTGACAACAGCACTGCGTTCGCTGCCTAAGTGATTATGAAATAGCCGTTTTGTGATTTCATGCCTGACCAAACGTGTACTCCCCTCCAGCAATCCGAAACTTATTTTTTTGTTGTAATTCTAGCGAACGACTATTTGGCGAGGACAAAGAGAAGTAACAGTGCTTTTCCCTACCTTCACAAATGTAATATTTAGCCAAGTGCCGATTGAACTGCTCCTGGCGCAAGAAAAGTCACCCGAAAAGCCACAGCCCCGACGCAAGAGCACCAGACTTTCGTCCATTTATGAGTAAGTCGACTGACGTCCCTCCGCGTGCTCATTCTCCCCCGCTCGTTTCATTGAGTTTCACTTCTCCTGTAGACTCGACGAGATTGAGAGGCCGTCGAAGACGTGTGGAGTGCCGCAAGAACGCGAAGAGCATCAACAACAACAACAACCTCAAAATGTGTAAGCCTGCGTGGTGTAGGCATCGATCCTTTGATGCTAACGGAGTGCATTGTACAGTTGACATTTCTGTCACCTGTATGACCAATTCTATGTCTAAACACAACCCTTATCTGAGGACGGCATTCCTAAATTTCATCCATTCTGCCTTTCAGGCTTGAGGCTCCGGCCGTGGACACCCAAATCCAGACTGTCTCCATGTACGAGCTCTTGGTTTTTTCTTTCAATATCGACTTACTGATTGTCCAGTCGCATTCCCCTCACGCCTCTATCGTTGGTCTTTCCTTGTTAGAACTGAGCCACCGCCTGCGAATCCCGTCGCCGAGTAAGTAGTCGAGTTTGTTGCCCCTGTGGGTCCCGCAGAGGTGATGCTGCGAAGCTGTCTTCTCCTTACACTGGACCCCAAATTAACTGCCACGTCTGCATTTCCTGGATGGCGACTAAGCCAGTCGTGTTCCCTCCCTCGTGCCGTGCAACACCTACCTTCTTGCCTCGGCACAATGTTATCCGCGTCTTTTTTCACTCTATTTAGACACCGCCTGCCTGTCTCGACGGAGGAGACGCTCGCATTCGCTGAGGTGCGTCATTTGTTCAAGGGAAACCTCTTTATTCGACCTGTCTACGCCTATCTTTCTCTGTTTTTTTCAAATTTCAGCCACAGGCGCCTGTTCAAGCCGCAGAGCCTCAAGAAGGGCCCTCGAGTCCGAAGCGGCGTGCTCTTCAGAGCGTCGAGGACGCCTCGAAACTGTCGATGCCCGAACCACAACTCCTGGAGCTCGATCAGCCTCAGCCCTGTGCTGCATCGTCAGCCGTGAAGTGAGTCCTCAGACCGATGGCGTAGTGTCGATTGTCAATCGCCATGAAACGATTTGCACGCCGGGTTTTGACTTCCACCCTCTCCCTATTCCCAAATCGCAGCAGTTATTACCTGTGTCGACACTCCCTTGTTTCAGGGCAAGGCCCCCGAGACGCGCTGCGCCATCGCCGCTGCCGCCGCTCAGTCTGGAGGAGCTGGTGCATCCTCCGCAGGCACCGCCTCCCAGACGCCCTCGGAAACGCCCAGCGCGTCTCCTCGTTGACAGCGTCCTGCAGCTCTCCAAGGCGCAGCTTCGCGAAAACTTTGAGCTCAGCAAGAGCCTCCTGTGCACCCGCGCCGAGATACTGGCCCTCAGCTCCTGGGAGACCCACCCCAAGCGTGCTCGGTCGCTCAACGTCGACCGACTGCTGGCTCTGCCCGCTAACTGGGAGCTCGCTATCAGCCTCGGTCTTGGCGAGGTAAGGCTCGGTTGCCAGGCGGACAAGCATCTCCGTGATGGTTGGGTGTTGGTAATTCGGGTCACTCTTTCAGTTGGACCGCGAGAGCAGTGAAACTGCACGATTGGGCGGCGTCAGGGGATGACTGGGGCCGTTGTGCGTCGTAGGACGTTTAGCATGATTTTGATCGGAAGATCGCTGCTGTGAGATCTAAGAGGCTGTTCGGCCAGACGTGCAAGTTGAGAATGGGCTGGGATCATGCGAAGTGAGCAAACTTAGTGCGTCCACAATCGAACTCGTGTTGTTGGCAATTCTTGTAGCTCTGGCGCTCGAAGCGTCGAATGTGCGAGGCGTTGCCGTTGAGGGACTCACCGCAGCCACCAAGAGACACGTCTAGGTCCCAGTCCAGGTCGAATCTCAGCAGCCTCCGCGAGTCCGCGTTGGAGGCGTCGCGCGAGGAGGCTCGCGCCGCCAGCGACATGCTCTCCGCCTCCTCCTTCGTTCCTCGACAGTCCTCCTTGAACCCCTCGAGTTTCACCATACGCGCTTCTTCCAGCCAGGATGGCGACAAGAGCCTCCAGCAACAACCCCCGACTCCGAAGGACACCGTCATCGCTCAACAGACGACATATTCGATCGCGGACGGTGAGTTCGAACCGTTGCCCGTATCGGTTTTGGTGCAGGAGAGTAAATTGATTTCGCCGTGTGTTTGCCTGCCTTGTAGCTCCTCCTCTGCCTCCAAAGGCGGAACAGCTGCTTCCTGTTCCCGAAGGTAAACGGTGCTCATGCAAGCTCTCACCCCAAATCGAGACGTCTCTATGTGAACCGTTGTCTTGGTTGCATTTCAGTTCTTCCCGAAGGCACCGTCCCGCCTCCTCCTCCGCTGAGCGACATTCCTGCTTCATACGCCAACGAATCGGCTTTCTTGGAGTGAGTCTTTGACCTCGGTTTGCCTTTGACCTCCTGGCAGCCTCCAACTCCTCATCTGTGTAATCTCGTTTCAGCACCGTTACGGAACAGTTCAGTCTGGGCGTTCTCGAAATCGATTTCACCAGGCTCTTGTCGCCGTCGTGTACCCGAAAGCAGGCCGCGAAAACCTTCCACCACCTCTTGTGTACCTAGTTTGCATTCTTTTACCTCTTTCTATACCCTGCGTTTGATTGAAAATGCAGAATTAGTGCGGTTGTTTGTAAGCGGGGCAGTCGGGTTTGCGTAGGTAAACCCCTACTAAATAACCACTACTTCTCGAAATCAGACAAGTTAGCTAGTTTTATGAGAGCCTCAGGAGGTTTAATCGACAAGTCGGTTTGTCGCCGGTATGAATCTCCTTTTCTGATTCCTGGTAGGCCTGCTGAAGAGTCGGAAGGTTCGTGTTTCGCAAGCTGCGCCGTTTGAGACAATCTGGATTAGTCCCGGGAGCTAGGTGGATCTCCAACGCTGCATCGACATCTACTGTCCAATACGCCCTCTATTTTTATACATTTTATACTGTTAACCGAGTTTACCTAATAAATTCCTAGCGTTCGTGGTATTCTCAATTGATCGGGTCTAAAGTCGAAAATTTTGCCGTATTCTGTGTCGAAATGACGTTGATTGGTGGTTTGTGTGAATTCAAACAACTGAATATCGCCTAAAGTGGCCACTAGCAGAAGTTTATGAGCTTCGAGTTAAAATCAGACCTGATCTTGTATTGGTCACAGAGGACGGCCGTCTTTGGGACATCTTTTAGTGTTTTAGTAACGGAGACGGTTGGGATTTCCCTATTCGTAGCCTAAACCAGTAGCGAATCGGCTATCGTAATCTATAGGAGCATGACGTGTAAAGAAATTGGATTGGAGGACGTGTAATTATTCACAAAAAAGTTAATTAGCCATAATCAGTGATTGGCTCAGATCGGTTTTGGGGCTTTTCTGTTACAACTAATTCGCGAGACGTCGAAGATTGCGTTTAAGGACATTAGCGACATCGGCTTTTGACCACAAATGCAATTTTGCGAGAATTTAGGAGTTGGCCACGTCTCCATTTTTTCTCTACCTAGAGAGAGCTGAATGCTTACTTCTTCGTTAACGCGTTTTTAAATTATCGTGCCAGTACTTTCTCAACGTCCAACTCATCACACAATTTAAACCTCCCCATCAGTAAGGAGTTAATTGAAAATCGGGAATATTTTCTATTTAGCACATATTTTTACACTCAAAGAAATGAGTCCGTAATAATTAAGTCATACACCTAGTTGACTGATGTTAATTTAGGCAATTCACTTGTCATCACCGGCGGTATTTCGTCCTAAAACGAGGTACAATTTAATTAGACAGGTGGCGCCTATCGCAAATATCGATTGGTCATTCAATTCTCGTGGCATCCAACTGTCCACCGTCTTAACGATTTTTAATTGGCGCACTTGATTCATTTTCGAATATTCAAGCCTAATCTTTAAAGGCTTTCTGCTAAACTTTCGAGACTCGTCCCTCATCAGCTTCCTCCTCGCTGATTGGTCTAAACCTGGCTATGCACATCTTTTGGTAAATGGTGGTGCTTTGATTCCACACTATCGACAAATCCCGCATCGCTAGTACAGCCAAACACCGTCCGCACTATTCAACTCCTTAAAAACTGTTTTGGCAAATTGCAAACACCCTCCAGCGTTTGTCGTCTTGTTAAACAATGACACGCACTGACCCCAAGATGTGAGGCCCTTGACAGAGTGGCGTGGCAGAGGGCATCTATCTGACCAGCTAGTACGGCGTGTTTGAACGTGCCTGGCTCCGCACACACACACACAAACGTGTTCGACGGGGAGACGGTCAGTGGCCTGGGTTGGGGGAGGGCGGGTCGGTAAACGTGAGCACGTGTGGGCATGTGAGCGATAATCACGTGGACCGCACTGGTGGCAAACGGCGGTATTATTAATAAACAGTGGGTTGCACTAGGTCCCATTTAATCACCAGTTTTGGTAAGGAGCCTGTTGTGATAACTTTTGTTAGAACTCGCGTTATTTTATGGAACGAGGTGTCAAGGCATTTGAGGACTTCTGAATAATCCATCGTTAAAAAAAACCTGTTTCGAGGGTCTTCGGACAATGCTGGAATACTTCCCGTTTGAAGAAAAAACTGGGAGTAATTTTGACGTGGAGAACAAAAATAAATGTTTTTACTTTGTTTGTGGGCAAAAAATGTTTTAGCGGTTAAATTTGTGTTAGCAGCAAGTCAATTTCTCAAGTCGTGGTCGCATAACCGTGCCAGAGCCTGCAGAGAGGTTAAATTTTGCGCCAATTAAAAATCGTTAAGACGGTGGACAGTTGGATGCCACGAGAATTGAATGACCAATCGATATTTGTTATAGGCGCCACCTGTCCAATTAAATTGTGCCTCGTTTTAGGACAAACTACCACTGCTTATGACAAGTGAATTGCCTAAATTAACATCAGTCAACTAGGTGTATGACTTAATTATTACGGATTCATTTCTTTGTTCGTAAAACTATGCCCAGAATAAAAATATTCTCGCGGTTTATTGCAGTTTTGGAAAGATCGATCGTTAGGCTTCAGAACACCACAAGACAAGTCTATATTAGTCACATAATCGCTCGGAATAGTAGTTTTCACTTGAACCCCATAGCCAACACGTTCGGTACTGCTTTTAATACGAATTCCTACAGGAAAAACATGAATCCATAACGAGTAATTATTGGTACAAACGTTTTAGTAGTGGTCATTTCGATCTCAGTAGCCAGCCGTCCCCCGAACGGCAGCCTCGAAAGCTTGAAGATGCGGAATTGCAAGTTCTGCTGGATGAAGACTCAACGCAAACGCAACAAGTGTTTGTAGCTCAGCTATTTCCAAGTTTTTGCACCAACATTTGGGAAAAGTTCAAAAACTTGGAAGTTGGGTTGCCTCACATGTGCTGACAGAACACATCATGGGTCAACGTGAGAAAACGTACATTTCAGTGCTTGCCCGGCGGCAACAAAACGGGACTTCGTGTTGAAAAGTAAACTGTTACAAGATTCCAAGCAATCTAGTACATTAACGCCGAAACTGGCAACACACTTGAAGAAGGCTCTCCCGCGAATCTGGTAAGATTTGGTGGGTATGCTTTGTTGCGACCTCTTGAAATTGGGCAGTCGGTGACTGCTGAACGCTACGGCCGACATTTGAATAAATCGGGCGAAGATCGTGATCAGGAAAGCCCATTCACTGGTCAAGGAAACAGGTAAGTCATACCGCTGCTCCTATGCATCTGGTAGAGGGACAAGAAGGGTGTACTTCATTACGACCTCCTGGAAACCGATCGTCAAACAGTGTCTGCGGAACGCTGCAGCCGAGAATCGAACAATCTGCGCGAAGAACTTGATCGGAGCAGGGCCATTTACTTTTCAAGGAAGCAGGCAACTCATACTGCCACTGTTGCATGACAACGCTCGACCGCCTCAGGTTGCTCGCGCGACCCAGGAGACTCTCTTGAACTTGGGATCGGAAGTTCTGCCACAAGCGGCATATTCACCAGACTTGGCCTACCCATTCAACTACCATTTATTGAGGTCAAAGCAGCTCATCGTAATGAGTCGTCCAGATGATATTGCGAAATCGCTGGGTATTTTGAGCTGTTTCTAAGCCACCAAACAATCAACCTGATTAGCGATTAGGTATGTAAAAGTGCCTTCCACTCGTGATAGCGCGAGACCTCAAATGCCCGTGGCACCTCATCGTGAAGATTACTGACACCTGGTAGGGATGTTATGTTGGTTCCTCAAAGTACACCTCCAAACACACACCATTTATGTTTTGAATTTAGCACAAATCCCTAATTTTAAACAAGAGTAGAGAATGTCAACTTTCGATGTCAACGTAATGAAGGGGGCTCCAATTTGGTGACTTAAAAGAAGACGATTTTGCCGATGGTGTTTTAACGCATTTCCGTGATGCAAGAGACCAGCGCACTTTCAATCACCTCGACGTACTTTTCGGCTTATCGACCGATCGCGCTAACCTCAGCTGAGAACTCCTGCCAGGTCATCACCTGATTTCACCTCCTTCAATAGGCAGGGGGGAAGGGTAGGGTACTTTTATCGACAGATCCGCTCTTTCTTTGCGATGAAATTGCCACGATGTGCGTCGATTGGGCGGACTTTTACTTAGGTCATGCAATCACACACGCCAAGGCATTCACCACTGAACGCCTGATTGGCGAACCACGCTGTTTCAGGACACGCCAGCACATGACCTGAGATGCATTCAGGCGCGCTGGTTGGCTGGTGGGGGTAGGGTGACCTTAACCACGAGGACGTAGTTAGGGTATAAAAGAGGCGAACGACGATCACAGAGTTGAATTCTAGCATCGCCCGGCTACGAGGTTAGTGGTCTCTCTTTCTCCCCCCCTCTCTCTCTGGTCTCCGTGTTTGCTAAACCGTTCCAGGTTGAGGGCTCTGCCAGTGGAGGGTGTCTAGCCGGTCGCCATGGCAACTGAAGGCCACCGGGTAGACATTCATCCACTGGCGTTGACTCTAAACGTCTCGGAGGCCACCGCAGATTCCCGACGAACAGCTGCGCAGACTCCTTGATGCCTTCTTTTCCTTTTTTTTAGGGCGAACGCTACGATTCCACGAAAGCGCCACCTCGCTACATCGGAGATGTAGTCGCTCAGCGAAATGATACAGCAGAATCGTGCAACGACGGCGCCTTCTGTACAAAGCGAGACAGTCGGGAAACCACGGCTTATCCGATTTCCGCGTTCTGTAAACCACTTTGGTGAATATACGTGTTTATGCAAAGTCATTTCTTCCGTGTTTTTTTGCTTGCCTTCGTGTTTGTTTAACTGTTTGATTAATCGATAACTCAACAGCTTGGCCAGTGGAGATTGCCTGTCCGGCCGCCAATTTTAAACTGGCTTCGTCCCAAGGCCACCGGGTAGACATTCATCCACTGACTTGAGCTCCCAACGCCAACTACTACTGATAAGAATAAATAGTAGCGACTAATGGTTTACAGCCTCTCCTTACAGGTGTCGAAGCTGTCTCGCGCTGGCTCCAGTCGAAAATGCTTCACCTGTCTTAAATATAGCTTCAAAATACATCTTTCTGAACGTCATCTTGTTGCTTTTCATGTCTTTTGGGAGGGTGGGTGGGTCGTTTTTCCAGCATCACGTCGACGAAGGGAAGCCAACGCATGAGATTAGTTCGTTCGAGAACATTCCTGAGGTTTTCGTGGCATTGCCTTAAAAGCCGTTGTGCCGATATGGGTAATGTCTGCTTCCACAACGGCTGAAATCGCCAATTGTAGATCGACACCTCCATTTTGTAAATCGAAATTCGCATGTAGAAAATAACCACCCACAGTATTGCGAAATTCGATAAATTGCAGATGTCCACTGCCATCACACCAGCAGTCAATTAAAAATCCAAGTCTAGAGGTTTGTGTTTGTTTAAATGAAATCGCGTTACTTGGAAGTTAGCCAATCAAATCTAGGCGGAAACTAGAGCGTCAAAACTGCACAAATATGGATGTTGGATGTTTGGCATTAGAGCCCATGCGTTTACATCTAAATCGTCAATTGTAGATCTGCACTTCCATCTTGGAAATCGAAATTGGCGTGTAGGGAACAACCTTCCACAGTATTGCGAAATTCGATAAATTGCAGATGTCCATTGCAATCGCATCAGCAGTCAGTTAAAAATCCAAGTCTACAGGGGAACACAGCAAGATCCGATTAGTAGAAGTTAGCGTTTGTTTAAATGAAATCGCGTAACTTGAAAGTTGGCCAATCAAATCTAAGCGGAAACCAGAGCGTCAGAACTGAACGCAGGATGTTTGGTAGTAGAGCCTATTAGTTTACAGTTAAATCATCGATCACATGTAAGCAATCGGAAGGGCTACAACTTCCAAATTCACGACATCGCACGGAACCATCAAACTGTTGGAAATGTGTCAATATTGAAGCGATCTGTGTGGATTTTTGAAAGAAGTGCCCCTTAAATAGGGACGTTTTGAGGTTGAATTATGGCGTCCGAAAGCACCTAGGGCAACATGTTCTCGTGTGGGTTCAAATGTGCGGCTGTCTTGTCGTTTTAACTTGGTGTCGTGAATTCGCGCAAGCTTAAAAATACTTCTAAACGTCGGGATTTGTCGAAAATACGCCATCGCCTAGAGCATTGCTGTTGAAAGAGGAATATTTGCGTGCGTCTAAACTCTCAAACCAAAATAATTTTCGGAGTAGCTCTCAGCAGCACTCACAGCTTATACAGATTCCTGTTAAGCACTAGCGCCAAACTGACCTTTAAATTTCCGTTTTATGTGACCTTGTGCACACAAGGCCACAACCTGATCTCTCAGTCTAATTTACAACGGTTAGCAGCAACTAACCCAAGCTTATAACGCCGTGTTTAGAACAACATTCAACACGTATCTAATCGATAATACCAGTTTTTCACAACTTAAGGTTGTCGAAAGCAGTTGTGGTAGAGTACATCCATCAGAGAACAAATCGTTTCAATTCCAAACAGAGCACGGCACAGAGGTTGGTCGGTTGTCTGAAATTCTCGTTGCTAGTGTCAACCTAATGCAAGATTATTGATGTGTGTCTGTGTGCCATGCTGTCAAAGCATCCGCAACCGAGACGTATCGATGGTGATGGATCAGTTGTTAACTACAGGCAGCAGTACCTGCTTCTGTGGTAGCATCACAATGGGTCTGTGAATATATCCTCTTTCACGTCCGTTGGGCGTCTGGAAGTGGTTCATTCTCGACGTTGAACAACTATTTTGCCCTGCTGATGAAGCCTTCAGCTGACAATGGAACTGCCGAATAACACATCGACTAGTACCACGCGAGTTAACTCCGGAGCCACTTCAATGGAAGTAGTTAATGATCTTCTACAAATGCTCAGGAATGCGTCAAAAGGACGCGAATGTCGGTGAACCACCACTGATGCCATCACCAAGCGTAGATGCTGAAGTGTACTTCTCAAGAATGAACAATTTGGACTGTTCCCGGTGAAATTTATCCAATTAATCGATTCCACGACCTGGCTACCCCATGATAAAACCGAAATTCACTTCAATCTACCCATAATTGACCAAAGCGATAGCTGATTGGCAATTAGCGACGTAACTAAGCGAGTAGTCACACATCCGATCGACATTTCGATAAATTGCTGGTTTTTCGGCAAGACAGGTCTGCAGAATTTTAGTCTAGAGGATGGTTTGCTCAAAAAAGTTTTCTCGACGTTCCAGTAACCCTTCGCCTAGTAATTTGGCGATGTTGTGCACTGCGGGCTCGGGTCGGTGACACGGTATCACCTTAACACCGGTTTAAGTAAATCCGAGTAACACGAAAACCCACCAGACGAATTCCTGAATGGGCGCAGTAAAGTGTTTTTGAAATTCTGGTGGTTTGGAGGGAAGTTGGATGTGATAGTGACTCGCATTTTGAAATCCCGCACAATTTGAAGGCGCGCGTTCTTGCTCGTTCGCCATTGGTTCATACACAGGACCTTTGTGGGCTGAGACTGCGAGCTCATTCACCCATCATTGTTCCACACATGGCTCAAACACTGAGGTCTAATTTGCCCCTTGCCGGGAGTGCAAAATCCCTTAATCATCTGACCTCACGTGCCCTGGGAAAGAGGGGATTGAGAAGGCACTTTCATTTCATAAAACTGGGGAAAATTTTCAATTCCGCTTCAAGTCCTGTGGGGGTTTATTTGGTTCCTGTTTAATTGATTCCTTTATGATCTATTGATCAAGCTAACTACCTCAGATTCGCCTAATTCAAGTTGTATTCTTCGATAGAACAAAATTTCTGATCTTAACCTAAACGATTACGTAGTGTGTCGGCCTCATGTCAGTTTAATCAAATCAGGCTACAATGAGCAAAAATGATACCTAACAACTTATTTCTCGTATGATAATCGGCTTAAATGCATTCCACCAATTCGACATAAAGGTCGAAAAGCGATGTTCGTCTTCGTTTAAAAAACACCAAATTTCTACTTATTTAAGGTTCATTTTGGTGTTAATTTGAAAGCGAAAAGGTTAAGAATTAATTATCAAGCCCAGCCTGACGATTTTTTACAGTTCGCGTGAGGCGGTACACCGATGGTGCTTCGCGTAGGTCGATCGATACTTGCGCGACGAGGCTTTCAAAGAAATCGATATCGATTTGAGTGCGTGCAAGTGCACACGAATTCGCAACGCTGCCTAAGAAGCTAAAGTAGAAAAAAACGTCAGATTTTTTTTCCAGGTAAGTCCTTTCCGGTGAAGGCACAAATTAACCTCGTCCTTGTGCGACCTCGTACATGTGTAGTAGGTGTGCGAGTCACCGTTGTACGCACAGACAGGCTGATTTCCAAAAGTACACGCGACCTCGCATGCCAGTTCAACTAGCACGCACGAACGCACTTCTACTGCAACCTTAGCAAAGTACACAGCTTAACCCCAAGGCCGAAGAAGCCCATAAACCCCGGGTTTAACGACATCAAGCGCACCACCGCGTTAGCAACCACGACAGCGTGGCCTTAAAGTCCATCTGGCAGCACTTTCGAATTTGAAAAAAAAAGGACGCGAAGATTTAGTTCCAATGGGAGGCCAGAATTTGGTTCCGTGCAATTTCTTCTTGCGACTGAGAAATTAAGCCCTGCTCAAAATAGGTGTGCATTATCGATTTTAATGTACATTAGTATGTCTGGTGCCTCGAGGGCATTGACCAGTAGTGTGGAATGCGAATTCGTTTGACCTGTATTTTCACACAAAAAAAATTGCATGAAATAACGTGCCATGGAAACCGCATTCTATCATTACCTGGGAATACTAACCAGTATGACTGCTTTCCCCGATGTGTTATTCGAAATTTTGGGCAAATCGATCAGTATTGGGAAAGTTGGCGGAAGCACGAGTTGTGTAGGCAATCCGTGAGTTCGAAATCGCGCCAATTAGAGGGTCATATTTGTTTAAATTAACACACCTTATTTATCAATGAATCTATCAAACATGACCGGAAACTAGAGAAACAAAACTGCATAAACTTGGCGAATCGGGCCTGCTCTTCCTCAAACAATGCTAGTAATCATTGAAGTATGCTAGATGATGGATTTAAAAAAAAATTAATTAACTAGGTACTTTGGTTTGTAATTTTATCAATGACGTCGGATCAATGTGTGCGACATCCAGTCACGTCCGGCTCAGAGCAGCTTAAAAAATCCACCAATCGCATCGACCTTTGTGATACTAAAAAAACACAAACGTGGAGGTCAAATGTAAAATTGCGAAAATTCGCTTGGACCGACATTTGCCTCAGTTTGTTTTCGTTATTTATTTTATGCTACTATATAACAACTAGTAGTTTTAATATGCTCTAATTAAGTCAGAGTATCTGCTTTGCGAAAATGCCAACGCTCATCTTTCCATGGATGTCATGTTGGATCATGGTAACACAAATTGACGCCAGGTGAGATATTCCCACGGCATCGTTCGAGCTTATCCAATCGTCTGTCTATAAATATTTTAATGGAGGTCATTTTAGGATTTCTGAGTGTGTATAAGCAGTATAGTCAGGTATTTGCGCTTTTTATCAGTGTTAAAATTGCAGGCAGACAGCAAAAACCAGTTGTCGCAACTGGACACATTCAGATCATGGGCTGATGTCTCGCTTCAGAACTTACACAGGATTAACACCGGAGATCATAGCTACAGATAATTCCTGAAGCCACTTCGTGTTGCGCTGTCGAATGTCAAGTAGTCCCATTAGGAAATTATTGTGGATATAGCTGCAAATGGAAAGCCTGACTGACTAAGTCAGAAATGAATTCAAACTACTCTCTACTAATCCTCTTTATCTAAGGTTTCAACAGTGCTGCACGATCCTTTAAATACTTATTCATTCAAAATTTCTATTAATAGCATTTTAAAAGTTTCATGTCACCTCAAAGGCAATCAAATAATCAATTTTGTTGCAATCAAATTTGTAATACAATCATCAACTGCTGGAATGCACTTTTAATAACCATTTAAAATATGCACACACGATTTTACTTGTAAAAAAAAAACACAAAATACCATGTTATTCGTCAATCCGTTTTATAGGAAATAAAGGCAACATAAAGGAGGACAGGTTTTTAAGCCACAAATAAATTGGTGGTTGCAGACCGTCAAGGTTACCGGTAAACAGATACATAACGGTGAGTGCAGAAACAGAGCGGAATATCCAACCTGCGTCTCTGATTTTTCCGCAAAGCGCAATGGCAATCACAGATGGGTCACCTCCTTCCCAAAATGAGGCTGGATGAGAAATCGCTTATAGAGCTTTTACCTGTCTCCATAAGAGGATACCTTTCCACTCAGTTTATGCAAGTACATATGACGACAGGATTGTTGCAGCCAATGTTCACCACTTTGCTTATCGTACTCTACGTTGACTCGTTCCCTATGAAGGATATTGCCACCGATTGTCCAAGAAGACAACTTAAGTAACTGTTAATTCAAGTAAATGCTGGCTGCTTAATTGCTTCCTTAACGGTAGTTAGCTTAAACTTATTCTCTGAAGTGAACAGAAAATTGAACAAAAACTGTTGGCCATTATTGAAGCTGGGTGAGTAGAAAGCCCTTATATAATCATTTGACCGCAATTTAGAACACCCGAGTCCTTGTATAAAGAAGGCTGGTACAACAGAACAGGCTTTATTGACCAATCACAAGGCAAAGCCAAACGTCAGACACCATCCATCTGAGTCCGCCACGCTGGCTGAACAGTTCATTTTACACTCTTCTCGTTAGTGCCATTCTCTGATTGGCTGCATTTCTTCCTCCCACGCCATTAGAACACAGAGAGACAGAGGATTGCTGAGGCCAGCGTGATCCATGAAGTCTTCCCCCTCAGACGTCGCTACACTGTCCCCCTTCAGGAGGGAAACTGTCCTCAGCTTCTGGCTTGGTTGCCCGCACTGTTCAAGATTGGTCAAATATCCTGTTCGACACTCCCCGACACCCCACATGTGGCAGGATTGTGGCCCAAGCGAACAGTTGACGTGGAACTTTGCTCTTGTAGATTTGCAGGAAGGCCACTTCATCCATCGTAGGTTCCTTCGCAGTTGCAGTCCAACTGGCTTCTACAGTCCATGTCGTTTTCGCTGAGTTGCCAATGTCTCTTCAGATGCAGTAGTCCCAATCCCGGGCAATGTCTATTGATCCAATGTATGGAACATAGGATGACCGTCATGACCTTCAGCTGGCATTTAAGGGCCTTTGTCTCTGTTGACCATTTTAGGGA